AATAAGTTTATTTTATTTGCAGAAAAAAGCAGCTTCATATAATCTATCTATTATGTAAAAAATGTTGAAGAAGTACTTATTACTTATTACTTATTAGCCTTATAACGTAATATAATATCGAAAAATTCTATTTTAAATAATATTGTTATTTGTACAAATTGTTTTTGATCAATTGATTTATAAAATATAAACTCTGAAACACATGCAAGTCATAAACCAAACTAAGAGTAAACTTGTATTATAGTTTAATATTTTCTTATCTTATTTACGTTAGTGTTTTATCCTTTTCGTTTTATTTTTCTATTTCGTGAGGTTGTTTATGTTGTTCAGAAAAAAAAAACGAAAGTTCAGTATTTACTAAAGTCTAGTTGTTATCGACTCTCTTTATGAACAATGACCAAGTCCTTTGAATTTATTGGTTAAGTTTTTTTCAATTTAAGTGCCGTATAAACAGCCGCCTATTAGAAACTAAAACATTTGATTCTGTTGATTAAGTTATAAATAAAAACTCATCAAAATTAAATGTTGTACTGTATCCTTTAATTAAGAGTTTAAGGTGCCTACTAAGAAATTAACAGAATAAAATCTGACAAGACTTTTATCTTTATAATTCGCTCATGACACAACTTGTGTACTTGGTTATGTCCGTTTGTAATTAAAGGAAAGAAATTTAAGCTGCTTAAATTATTAACTGACATTGGCAGGAATGTGTATTTTAATACGGAAATGATTAGCACTGAAGTTCAATTTTGTGTTATTGTGTTTCAATCCTTCACAACACTGATTTATGTACATGTACATGAATTTGTAGTAGGAATATACAGATGCATTGTTGAGATATTTCCCTTTATTTTTAAATCATGTTCATTTCATTGATGCATTTTCATTATTTCGTAAGCCCAATGTTTATTTTTCGTTTTGACCGATTTTTTAAAGACACATCATGCCTCAGAAATCATATATTATTTAATTGTTTGGAAATGTTAAACAAGTGTTTAATAATATTTAGTAATTGATTTAGAGCATGTATGGTGTTTTACAACTGAAGAAAGTAGCGCTGAATGTGAAGTAACGTGTCATAAAGGTAGCAAAATACAACATACTGATTCACTACAATTATACAAATTGCCAATAGAGAGAAAAAAAAAGATTTTTTTAATCTCTGGAAAGTACGATATTTGTAAGCATCTGTTCTCTTATTGGTGAATACATCCCGATTCTGATATATGCGATGCGTACATGGTACTCACTAAAGATTCATCGCCGATTGAATAAATTCCATAGTGCTAAAATATACAAAAAATAAACACTCGCCTGTGTGAAATCAAAATAACATCCAAAGAACATATCACTTTGACATTTTAAACAATACCTGGGACAAAATAAGTATTTTAAGTCCCAGTCAACACGTGAAATATCCACACTGGGTAACCTCTGAGAATGATTTGCTGGCCCTTCCTAAGAATAAAGCCAATCTATGATGTTAACACTTACGTAGTCGCTCCTGTTCAATACTCAGTTGACTTTAACTCTTTTATAGATAAGAAGTTAAAAAAACTGTATCTATCAAATTTCAAATAGCTTGTTTAAACACAAGCGTGTCTGTTTTGAGCGTACAGGTTTCCAGTGATCATAGTCCTTTTTAAAAAAAAAAGTGAAACATAGTACAATTACATAATGCAGTATTTGAATAAGCGGATACATTTTTCTTTGTTTCTTTATCAATCATTATGAAGTTTTGATCTTGAAGTTTCATATATAACCGATATAGCAAATCATATTTTTCAGAAAGGTTAATAACGCATTAGCCTACGCCACAATTCTGCTTCTGATAAATGCCTTCTCTCACATTGCTTAAATGGTCAATACCCTACACGTGTCGGTACGTGTATGCCGTGTGTAAAAAAGACTTTCAAGATACAAGGTCACCTTGTTTGCACTACTTGCACGTGGAAATGGCCTATCATTCAAGGCTATATGTACACAGGGTACACTCTCGGATACATTACTACACGATTTACAATGTAAATATCATAACATTATATGATGTAGAATGCACGATGCTATGTTGAAAACGTCGTGCTTAGCAAACTTTGGGTAGTATATATAAATAAAACGAATTATTCAATAGGACCACACATTTGTGTTAACATATTCTTTATGGATCGCGTCCAGTTTGAAAGATTACATCAATAAAACAACTCTAAATGATTTCATAGATTTTTATATTTCATCTAATTATTACAACCATTCACGCAATAGATATAGAACAATGTCAGCTAACTGGGGATAAAGGAATTAAAACATGTCAATTTTCTGTTGAATATTCCCTCATAAAACATACTTGTAATTTAATATCTCAAATACTTTTGAAAGTAAATAATCCTCATACTATATCCTAGGAAATTGACATATGTTTTCAACGTCCATGTTCATGTGACCTACCTAATAAGTTCATATACAAAATGGGTTTCAGTTAGCAAACATAATTTTCAAGATCCGCAGCAGCTTGTATAATACACGCATTCTTTAATTAATAATAACGTCAACGGTTATTGTGAATTAATATAGTAAATTTAATATAGTTCAGTGTGCTTGTATTCGGTTAGGTATATAATAACAATTCAAAAATACAATTTTCAAATCATTTGGAATCCGTGTAGCACATATTATATTTAACAAAGCTATATAATATGTATTACTGAAATGCATTGGTTAATGCAATTTTAATAAAATTTATAGCTTTTCAAGTAAGTTCAATATGAAAATATGAAAAAAAATGCAAAACTGTGCAATACATGGATACATTTACAAATTTTAACATTGAAATTAGACAAAACATAAAAAGACACGGAAATATTTGCGTGTGCTATAGTATTGTGAAATATTAAATATGACAAACAAGAGCTTTGAATTTTATGCATAATACGTATGTGTTATTTCTGTTACTCATAATTTTTATATAACACATGTATAATGAACATATTTTTACAAAGGTATTTGCAAAGCATCATCATCACACAAATGTACCTCTAATGAAAACATTGTGCATTAGCATATTTTTGATATCCACTTATGAACATTATCAACAAAATGTAAAAGATTCATGATCGAGCATCATCAATAATCATCATAAAATCATGTTGGATAATTCATTTACAATTGAAGCAAACTGTTGTTAGACAATTGAGAACGAGTTATCACTACCAGCAAACAAAGTAAAAACGTCCAGTAGAACAGGCGTTTGATATAAATGGAACTAAATTAACTTAATCTATTCACACTGTGGATATAAGTAATAAAAAAATTTCAACTACAAACCTTTAGAAAGAAAATATATATCATTATCACATGAAACATACAAAGAAAAAAACAACCACACATACAAGTGTATACTGTCTAAAATCTTGGAAAAGGTCGTTGACGTACGACTTGAGAGCCATCTGAAGACAAATAATCTACACGAGGTCAACCAATCTGCATATCGCAAGTTCCATTCGCCCGAGACTGCATTGTTAAAAGTTCAAAATGACATTCTACGGTCTTTGGATAATAACAATGTGACTATTCTCGTGATGCTTGATTTGTCTGCTGCTTTTGATACAATTGATCACGGAACGCTCCTTCGCCGCCTTGAACGACACTTTGGAATTACAGGCAAGCCACTCGCATGGATGACGTCATACCTGACCGACCGATACCAGACTGTATGCATAAACAACAAACTATCACAGCCAGTCCACATGGAGTACAGTTACCTCAAGGGTCTGTCCTGGGACCCAAGAGCTATGTGATGTATACGAAACCTGTCGGAGAAATCTGCCGTAAACATGATCTAAACAAACCATTTCTTCGCAGATGACTCACAACTCTATCTATCCTTCAAAACAGTGACTAATATTTCAATTCAAAGAGAATATAAACCGTATTGAAAGATGTCTTGAAGATATTGTAAGTTGGATGAATGCCAACATGCTGAAGCTAAACGGCGATAAAACAGAGTTGATCATCTTTCTCATCTGAACATAACGCACAACCTGTTCAGATGTTACAGTAACAGTCGACGGTTCGAAATTAGCCAATCATCTAGTGTGCGCAATCTTGTGCATTTCTTGACTCGAAACATGAGGATGGAACAACATGTAAATAATGTCTGTAGGAACTGTTATGCACAATTAAGAACAAATCGGTCACATCAGACCCTATCTTACTGTTAAAGCAACCAAATCTCTTAGTAATTCACTTGTTACTTCTAGGTTAGACTACTGTAATGCACTGTTATAGGAGTCTCTAAGCAGTCAATGACCAAAGTTACAACATGTTTTCAAAAATACAGCAGCTAAAATTGTGACCAAAACACTCCAAAACTATGACCACATAACACCTATCTTACGTGAACTTCACTGGCTTCCGGTAGAGTATCGGGTCGAACATAAAATTTTGACTTATACATATAAATCCCTCATCGATCAATCACCAGCCTATATAAAAGACATGATAGACGTGTACATCCCAGTCAGAAATCTGGGTCCCAGAATAACTCAATGACATTAGTTGTGCCTAAATCTAGGACAGTACGATATGGTGACAGGTGCTTCCAGACAGCCGCAACGACAATTATGGAACGCGTTACCACCTGACGTTAGAGACTGTAATACCTTGCCATGTTTTAAGAGAGCTCTCAAAACACATTATTTCATAAAGTTCTATGGACGTTAGTTCATAAATCATCATACATGTACTACTTTTGCTATATTATCAGTGTTAATTTTAATTGTGCCTTGATTTTAAACTAAATGTTCTGTATTTCTTACCATCCTTTACTGGTTAGATTATCATTATTGTTTAATAGGTTTACTTAATTAATGTTGTACATTATGTCATATATATATATATATATGATTATGTTTTTCGGATTTATGTAAAGCACTCTTGAACATTTATTATTTATGAAAAGAGTGCTATAGAAATGTGGTATATAATAATAATAATAATATACATTATCATCAGTCTGATGAACAACACACATCTCGCTTCCTTTCTGGTTTTTGTAAACATATAATATAAAATAACAATGGGTGCAACAAATCCCTAAAAGGTAAACGGCTGATTGAAGAGAAGCATTAAGACACACATGCATGTAATGCGATGGTTAAAGTAAAAACAAAGTATAGCAAATACAAACATATATACACAAAAGAAATGGCAAGGTATTTGTCAAATACCTTGCCATTTCTTTTGTGTCTACTGTATATGTTTTTAAGATTAAGTTATGCATTTTAACTCAATACATTTCCGAACGGAATATCAAGCCACCGATAATTATATCATTTTATGTAAAAAGATATAAATTGCTTTAATTCTTATTTGCATAGGAAAAAAAGCAAAATGAAAGAAAGAAAATATAGGAAAACATAAATCATTACATAATAATTCAAGATAAACAACAAATAGAATAGATTCATTTCTAAAGTATTTATCTTACAGTGTTTAGAAATTTACAATACTGTTTGAAAAAGATAAAACATACTTTATTTGAATTTGCAGCAGTTACTATCGTTTTTTGTACAAAACCGGTAGTAATTTTACATATTTTAAGCAGTTTATTGCTGTGCATGAAGCCAACGTCATTGAAATAATTAAAGTGCAAAAAATCAAAACAACGTAATCAAATAAGTTTGTGTCTTATAAACAAAAACAAATGTCAAAACCAAGAAGTGAATTAAATAACAATACGTACTCAATTTATGTTGATTGATGAGTGATGAATTTTGTTTTAAAAATTGTTTCTTTTTTCGGAGTTTAGGTATAATAAGACAATACACGATACAATAAAATTTTGCAATATTTTTTCAAAGTAACTTGAATTCCCTAAGCATATTAACCGATTTGTAAAGATAAACTTTTATTCTCATCCTTGAGTAAAGTATTTTTGGTACAAATCTACGGAATATTTGCTGATTTTATCTAATTTGAATAAAGAATGAATAAACTATGAACAAAGAATGTTGGTCCTTTTATACAAAGAACAGCCAGTTGTTATTTAATGACACTTTATATTCATATTGTGACCATCTATAGTGATGAAAAGTTTAAACATATCTAATTTGTGTGAAGTCAAAACATTTTTTTCTATATTTACAAAAATACTGTGTAGAAATTATCAATATTTAAAAAAAAAAATTTGAGCATAGTATATCATTAACAAACTAATTACCTTACAATCTTTGAAATAGTTGATGTCATCTGGCTCTGTCCGTGATGACATATCAAAACTTGTCGGCAAATTAAGTTATTAGACGTGAAACAACATTATTGCAAAATAATTACGTAAATGAATTATTACAATTAAATTATATATATACATATAATAAAAGTACATCGGTACAAGGCGTCTCATATTATTTGATACAATGTGCATATATATCGAGAATGATAAAGTTAAATGAAAATGATTACTCATTAACTCAGATTTGTAAATGTTCCTATTCTCGGTGCATTATTTTTGTCGATAAGCAATAACTCATGCGATGTTTTTTTTCATAAACATAGAAAGTAATGTGAGTTCAAGTTGTTTGAATCTCATCTTTGAAACAACAATTAGATATGTTTGAAAATGAGAATCGGGAATATATCAAATTTACAAAAATATAATTATAATGTATGCCAATAATATTTTTTTGATGATATTTACAAAAACAACATATAAAGGAAGTCCTGTACATTATAACCGTCCTGATAAAATGGAAGAACTAACTTGAATTATCAAATAAGCTCATTTCATCATTTCATAATAATTATCATTTTATTAAAATCAACACCACGAACGCCACCAACACAACAACTCCAATTACTGATTAGTTTAATTAGAGCAAAGACCAAATTTTTATTTACATAAAAAGACATACAAAAAAGAAGCAGAGAAAATAAAACAAAAACTGAAAAAGACATAACAATATTTACAGGCAAAATATTCTTAAACAGATGTTTTACGTTTGTAAAAAATTCTTTTATCTCTCCAAAATTAAAGTTCTAAAATAGCATTTACTAAATCCATTTCATTTTTAAGTGACACTTAGTATTTTGAGCAGTAACAATAGTTTTAGAACGGCATTTATATTTTATTCCTTTGATATAATTTTAAAACTTTAATAATACAGAATGAAAATGAATAATAAACAATTACATATGGGTTAGGGGAAAACATTAATGCAATGTCAAATAAATCATAATTGTAAAAAATGTATAAATAATAAAAGAAATTATCAATTTTAAAGGACCATGAAATAACAATGGTATATAACTTGTTGTTGAATATGTGTTTTGTTTTTAAAGTTATTGTTTATTTACATTAAAGGGAAAACGAATAGCCAAATTTGGCTCTACATTTGTTGCTGATCTATGTGCTGAAATAACTAGATTTCTTTGCATAAATGGCCGCCCGTGCATGCAACATGTCTGTAATCGAACTGAGCTTTGCAGTTTAATGTGTTTCATGTAATGAAATATGAGACACAATTGTGGTCCATGTATGGAGACAGTGCATCTGCTTGATATTGTCAGGAAAACCGTCCGAGACAAAACCCAAGTCTTTGTTCAATAGGCAATCACCATATTCATATATACATTCTTTCAACCTAAAATTAATAACGTTGAAGACTTCTCGTTGATTTTGAATATACATTTTAATGGGGTCATTTAATAGCTTTCCTCTACACATCACTTACTTATAGGTTAATATAAAATAATGTTGTGCACTGTTTAATACATCTGAAGAAATCTATATTTACCTGTTATTCATTTGATTTATTTCTTAAGTAATTTTGGATTGGTAAGAAATAATGCTTTACCAATTGTTGGTATATATCAATACGAAATGAATCTTTACAGCCTACATATCAATGAGTAATGAATCTTTACAATCTGAATCAAATGGATGATCGTTATTTTAAGTCGTCTGAACTAGTTTAATTCAACTTTGCTTAGATAATTTTATCGATTAGTAAGTGGTTAATTCGGTTAACCAAATGTAACAGAAGCATAATTATCATGACAATTCATACAACTGGAGCGATACTTGAACAGAAATCAGGTACTCATCCGCAAGAAGCATACTTTAAGATACGACTGTTAGTAATTAAGGTGAGAAATATTGTAATATGTCTGAACTTTACACATGAGGCTCAAGGCATTACAATCGAATAGCATACAAATATGAATGTAAACGATAAAATCTTTTGAAACGAATTGCCGAAGGAAGCAAAAACGGATATCACAATTACTTCCGAAGATATATAAATTGAATATACAAGCAATAAAATCATAACTTACTTTTGATTGGTATCGTCGAAATTATCCTCATCTTCACAGTCATCTTTTGATACTCTTATTATGATTAACTCAAACAATACATCAGACAAGACGTGAATTTTCTGATTAGACAGCGCTTGAAGAAAATCTCTCAATGGAGTTTTACATTCGTTTGGAATATCTTTATGATACCTTTCGTCTATTCCGTCAAATATATCCTTTAAAGGTGATAAAAAATAATAATCACAGAATTTAGTTGTTTGCCTTTGTTATCTTTTTCGTATATTACAAAAATATTTAATACTAGTATAAACGATGCTTTTTATGCATCATAGCCACTTCCAGAAATATTTCCAAATTACAACAAATACTATGAAAATGTAAAAAAATCTACATAGAACACATTGTAAAAGTGGCATATTTACATTATTTTATTTATATTCATTATCATGAAAGCATTTTATAAAATTTCTTGTTTAACTCTCTCCGTTGAACTTTGGCCTACTGCTCTTAATATCAATAGTGTTTATCTATAAGCCATTTGAACTCTCAACACCAAATCATTGGACTGCTTGAAAGAGCGAACCTTATATTTTGGTGGGACAACCCTTTAATGGTCATTGTAAACTATTATTTTGACTATTAACCTTTATATCAGAAGGGTCATCTTCTTGCCACTTGGAAAGTCCCTATTAGTTAACATAACCTTAGCCGTATTCCTATCCGTATGATTGATTGAAAAAAAAGGATAAGACAACGTGCTACATTTAGATCCAACTTTTAAGCGGGGTATAAAACTTTTACCTTTGTTCTCATTCTATTGTTGACCATGATTGATGCTCGTTGAGAATCAGCCATAGTGATTTCGCGTGTTTGCAATTCAATTGGTTTATCTAAAAAAAGACAAATAACAAATATAATTCTCAACAATTCATTTAAGTTAGATTGATGATTGGCAAAGCAAAACACACAGAACTAAGACACTTAAGTTGAATCATCTGAGACGACTATAGAAGATTTTCAGACAAATGATTTCACAATTGATAACTTTAAAGTTGTAAATTTCTTATGTAAACTGCATTTATCGTGCTTATTTCATTCCGAGTATTTTTTTTAACATACATGTAATGATGTTTTCGTTTGACAGCATCTAAATTTTAACGCAATGCATGATATACGGAAAACAGCACACGTTAAAAAATTGTCATAATAATAAAACTGTGATACGCCTACCTCTGTTTCAATCACGCATTTGCCCATATTCAATGTATCTTTCATAAAGGAATTGAGTGAACACGTAGACTCCTTATCGGAAACAGTTAGAAAACGTATAACAATATCTATTGATGACAATATCTGACATATATCTGGGATATCTTGCAGTCTTGAACATATCACTTTTTGCTTGCGGAATGCATTCCTAGAAATAATAATAATAAATGATACAGTTTACTCATTGGCTGATAGGGTTGGCCAATTCATCACACATATCAATATCATTAATGCTTTGTTTTAAATAAATTTTGTATAAGGAGTTATGTTGAAATTGTTAGGAAAGTTTGAACACTACACTTTGTTTTGGTTTGTTTGTTGTTTTTTTTTTATAAACTTTATTCTATGTGGCATTACTGAATTATCTCTCCTTATTTGATGTTATCCTCATTCCTTCCACGTGTGTTTACAATATGTAGCCAATTTGAATAATAGAAACTATTTGACTTGTTTTGTTAACTCTTTTGATATTGATATCTTTATTCATTGTATCAACGTTCTGCCGACGTATAATCATTTAACGGTTGACCTTAACCAAAGGGGTCCACATGAAATACCAAAATGGTTATTTATATAAGGTTGCTATACACGAAATGGCATTACAATATCTCATTTCTAACTCTAGTTATTGTCTGGAGAACCATTTTCATTTTTTAGTAACGGTGACCTTGACCTTGACCTCAGGGTGTTTAATGCAATACCAACAGGGGTACATTTATTCTATAAGCTGCTTAATTACCTCATATATTAATTACAACATACATAAAACAGCTCTACTTACTGTTCTCCAGAAATCCACTTTTACAGTTTTTACTAACACTTTCAGCCTCACCTTGGGGTTCCTATAAATAACACCAATGCACACACAGGGATTGTGCGCGAGCGATCACAACGGTTTCATCAGTGAGTAGTCACAGTAGATTACGACTCAACAATACCTTATTCCTCAACCGTGCGTGAGTTTACTGCTCGCGAAGCCAGTAATGATGGCGACGTGCACACGGACCGGCGGACGGACGACCGACCTGACTCCGATAATACCACCACTTTTTTGTATTGTTGGACTCGAATATAAAAACTTTTAGTACTGTTCCGAAGTGCCGTGAAGCCAGACCAAGAACGAGGCGTCCTAAACTGTAGAATATTTGTGTTACTAAGAAGTTAAAAACACCATACCACAATAGCATTTACCAGATAATGCGTCGACATTTGCTACAATTAAATGACATTAGATAACACATGGTCAAAAATACAAACACACAAGACGAATGTATGTTATCAGAAGTATAAGCTATTAAACATTTTGAGAGAATACCGATCATCACTCTATCTATAAAAACAAGCAATCAACACACCAATTTGGAAAATTATAAATATTTATCTATATATAAGAACAAAGAAAAAATAAGTCAACTAATAAAGGAAATATATCGCAAGTGGTACATAGTATATCAAAATTATTCAGTTATTACTCACTTCCCAAAAAGGAACCTTATATATAAACGTCAGCAAGGGTATATATCTATGCCAAGTCGTACCCTTACAAAACTTTTTCAATTATTCTTTCAGGGCGGAGAGCGATGATCTATTTTTATCATAAAAAGGTGCTCTAAAGGCCAACTCTGTCTGAAAGTCAGTATCTTATCTATGACGTTTTATCATTGTAAGATGTTTTACACAGAAAGGTGATTCTCTACGGCTTAGAATTTTTAATGAGACACCTTTTGTGCATGTAAACTGTTCAATGCTTTTATCAATGATTGTTTATACTCAGCTGATCTCTCTCTTCTCTCCCCCTACTTCAACTAACCAGACATTCCGGGTATCATCCAAGATCGGGAGGTGGCGTAATGCCATCATCTCACATACATTTTTACAGGAAGGTTACGCTTTAAATTAATGTTATTATCTGTTAGCAGTCACATCTTCTTAGAAATTGTTTTTTAGCAGTACATCAGCTTGAATATATAACTGCATCGCCGAACGTGATCGACTGAATAATTCTGGTGTGGATAATTGGACGATGGAACATATTTGTTGGAGTTCTATTTATTGTATATTCTCTAGACATTTGAACACCATCTGTTCCTGTAAAGTGCAGCAAATTCCCGTGTTTTGCAATCTCCCGTCAGGGCCAGCTGCTACTACTTGTTTACTGCCCTATTGAAGATTGCAGAGATTGAGACTCATCAATCGTCCTCATACATCGCTGTGGTGACGGACACAGTGCGATTCAGTGTCTAACAAACTCAGCCTCTGCATGCTGTCGATCTACTTTATCAACGATCAATCATATTGATCAGAGTTTCCATACATACGTAGCAAATCAATGACGACAATCTGCCGTCGATTGATCATCTCAAAACATCTGACACTATAAAATAAGTAAGTGCCGTTTTTCCATTTCCGATGTGGCCTCACACCAACAAGGTTAGAAAAACACTTCCAATATCTGTATTGCACTTGCGTAAGGCGACGCAAGAATACTCTGACTCTTTTCAGGACTCTAATGAGCTACAATGTATAATATTTCGTCTTCAAAGGCTCCCCTAACCACACTTGACTTCCAAAAGTAGGTCGAAGTGCTAATCATGTTACATATTTCAAGCATCCGTACTGGTAGGATACCTTGAGATGCCCTTTACGATACTTAAATAAAGACTATCACATAGAACGAAAGCTAACACCATAAGCACCACATTAGCCACTGCTTTCTTTGACTACTGCATTACAGTATTCAGTCGACAAAAATCCAGGCACATAATCAATAACAGAAATTGGCTAGAAGTGATAGTCGCCACCAAGATGAAAGGCGTTAATATCTGTTTAATAAAAAAAAAGCAACAAGCAAATAGGCATCCCTGCATCAGATACTGTCAATGCTACTTATTAAGATATACAATTACTATAATCAACGTTTAAGTTTTACCTTGAAAAATTTCCACAAACGTCTTCAAGTGAACCAAGTTCACTACTATCACAAGGGCGAAAGGCCATAGACCAGCCCATATAAACCAAAAAGACTCCGAGGACCATTTGCCCATTCGTTAACTACCTCTAAGAGTTGATCCAACAGATCGTCAGTTCGTACTAGACAGTCCATCAAACTGAACCAGCGAACCCTTCTCTGGTGTTCGGGTCGCTCTTGGTTAAAGACATTGCCGTTGCTTACTAGTGTTCCATATACCTTCAATGCAACACCCTCATCACCGTATTATATGCCTACTCCTTCTCATCACGCTATACGTTATTATGTGTGCTAAAAGAATACGCCAAATTATGACAGTGCAAATTCTAAGCGAGGACATATCGATATTTATTCCCAATTCAATGCATGTGAACACATGGCACCGCCCTCAGTAATACAAAAAAGAGATTTTTATTCACGTGTCCATGTACATCATATGTGAGCCCTGTAAAAAGTACCCTACCATTCATATCAGGATGTCATCACTTACTGTGAGAGAGTGCGCCTATGAATCGCTTCCAACAGATCGTACATATTGCCTGATGCTATCTCGATGATATATTTTACAGCGCCACTGACCACCTATTGGAACCTTTCTATTATTGGGAGGTGTGCACTATCATACGGATAATCTGTTCTCACTCCTCCTCTCCTCTACCATCTCAACCACACAATCTTGTATTCTTCCCGATCGCTTGAAAAACCGGAGTGACGGAATATCATGAATATAAGAATAGCACGTGATAATACGCGTAACATCTAGTTTTATCCAGATTCGGCTACTTTTCGTGTTAGAGAACTATCACAAGCGTTATACACCTGCGTCTCTGATTTCTCTCCTTACGTTAAATTCTCTTTAGTTTACTTTCGGTCTTCATCTTATATCCATTTGTAGAGTCAAACGCATGTGAGCTTACTTGCGGTTCTATCTCCTCGCTTTTCATGATGGCAAAATTGGCACCATCAAGAGCGCCCACATGTACAATCCTATTGGAGTATAGGTTTTGTAGTGCTTAAGTAGGTAGTTTAGTTCTTCTCATGTATCTCTCGTCATGTGACGTGTTGCGCCTGTGTGTTTATGCAGGAGTCTATGTTATTCCACGGGAGGAAATACGTCTTCTAGGGCTGGTGGTTAAAGAATTGACAATTTATATTCAGCATCCTATATTGCCAACACCTAAAACAACGTTGTCGTCTGACCAATGTAGATGAACATCCGGTCTATGTCATATGTTTCAGCTAGAGTTTCTCGATATTTCCGCTGACATCTAACTCTTGTGATATGCAGGCTTCACTAATCTCTTATGCATTCCCTTTCAACAAGCACAGGTTCATCGTTTATTTAGTTCCCCGCCCATTGTTTCTCGCTTACGGGCGAACACGCAATATTTTTACTTTGGGACCATATGCCGCTTTTCCATGTGCAATGCACTTTAGTGTCATATTCAAGGTTCATTACACCGCCGCTCATGAACACATTTCGTGCGCGGTTTCAAAACTCAAAATTTCACCATTTCATGTTACAATGTTGATTTCTGCTTAAGCGCGGCGTGCTAGGCGCGAGGTGGACGGTCAGTTTGCCACTTACCCAGTACCGCTCCATGACCAGAATCAGTCAAAACTAG